CCAGCCGGCACTGTCTGGCCGACGGCACCCTGAGGAGACCCACCCTGTGGGAGCGTACAGGCCGATGGGAGGTAATCTGTGGCAGAAGGCGGTCTCGAAGGTATCCCGGTCCGCTGCCATGGAGCGCCTTAAAGATGATAGTCAGCACCTTGAAGCGCACCCGGAAGGCCACCGGCAGCCAATGCAGCTCGCGCAGCAGTGGTGTTACATGGGAGCGACGAGTCCCTCCCAACACCGCCCGCGCGGCCGCATTTTGGACTAGCTGGAGCCTCCGGGTGCTCCTCAAGGGAAGCCCCATGTAGAGAGCATTACAGTAGTCCAGGCGGGAGGTGACCAGAGCATGAGTGACTGTGCGCAAGGCGTCCCGGTCCAGAAAAGGCCGCAACTGGTGAATCAGTTATATCTTAACTAGGAGGTGGTCCTGGATCACTTTCAAATAGGGGTGGCTTTGCTATGGGACATGTAGTCCAGAAGAAAATCTTTGAGATCTGACTGGTCAGAAGTTTCTTTATTCATCAGAGTTTTATTCTGTTTTAATAAATCTAGTAAAATGAAAATTTCATAAACCTTTCAGAATAAATTTCATTCTAAACTTTAATATGACTTTAAATTCATGGGTATATGAAGAAAGGAGGAATGCAGGTTAATACAACCATGTAGAGGAACCACTAATTGTCACTTCATGCTTAAATTTTTTCTTGATTGCTTCTCTCCAGAATTTATTAAGTAAAAAAATTCCTTTCTTGCCACATGTTAGCTCAAAAGCAAAAGGGAGGAACTAAATGAAGAATTTGCTAGTAGTTGTATTCCCTGCAACTCCTGTGGGAGTTAAAGATTTCTTATTTACCTAAGTGAAGTCCAGCAACTTCTTCACTAATGTTCATATCTACCTCTGTTTTTCATTAATGATTATTTCTAACATACTTTGTTTGGCATTCCTTGTTTTTCTTCTTAGTCTCTGCCTCAGTCTAAATGTGTGCAAAATTGCCATCCTGGATTTTTCAAGCGGGCTCGGAAAGGAGAGCCAGTTTGCTGCTATGACTGTATTTCTTGTCCGGAGGGGACCATCTCCACTCAGGAAGGTGGGTGACACCAAAGAAAAGAGTACTGGATTCAACAAGAGCATTTTGATCAATGTCCATTTTTAAAGAGACACGTCTAAGATTGACAATTCTGTGGTTCTTAATTTTCAAGGTGCCCAATTTCTTCCATAATAGGAAGAATTAAGAATTAGTACCAAAGATAATGCTACTATTAACTAGCCTTGGGGCTAGTTAATGCTTTTTTTCAGGAATTCGTGGTCCCACCATTTGCCTTGAAGGATGTGATTATGCATCTCATTCTAAAGAGGCTCTCTATGGATCCAACCATGATAACTTTTACCTGTGTACAATACCTGTAGTACGTTTGTTACAGCATAATTGTCAATCAGGTACAGTATTTATGGTTGAGGTACAGTTCCAAGATGGTATTGGTTGCTTTCATAATTGACTTCTAAATGGGAGTCCTGCAAACATCCTTTCCAGACTTCTCAGTGGCTTTTAGTAATATAAATCATTACATCCTTCTGGATTGACTTCACGATTTGGGATGGGAGTCAGGGTTTTTCAAAGATTTTCCTTTATTCATGGATGATTTCAATTGGTGTTCTTGCAGAACAGAGGTAAAAACCTAGGCCCTGCAATGGGGCATCCCTAAGGACTGGAATCTCGCTCCTTTCCTCTTTATCTTTTACATGATATTGCTTGTTGTTAGTTGTGAAGTCGTGTCCGACCCATCGCGACCCCATAGACAACGTTCCTCCAGGTCTTCCTGTCCTCTACCATCTTCTGGAGTCCATTTAAGTTCACACCTACTGCTTCAGTGACTCCATCCAGCCACCTCATTCTCTGTCGTCCCTTTCTTCTATTGCCCTCAATTTTTCCCAGCATTAGGCGCTTCTCCAGTGAGTCCTTCCTTCTCATTAGGTGGCCAAAGTATTTGAGTTTCAACTTCAGGATCTGGCCTTCTAAAGAGCAGTTAGGGTTGATCTCCTCTAGGACTGATCGGTTTGATTGCCTTGCAGTCCAGGGGACTCGCAGAAGTCTTCTCCAGCACCATAGTTCAAAGGCCTCAATTTGTTGGCGCTCAGACTTTTTTATGGTCCAACTTTCACAGCCATACATTGCAACTGGGAAAACCATGGTCTTGACTATACGTACTTTTATTGGCAGGGTGATGTATCTTCTTTTTAGTATGCTGTCTAGATTTGCCATAGCTTTCCTCCCCAGGAGCAAGTGTCTTCTAATTTCTTGGCTGCAGTCCCCATCTGTGGTAATCTTGGAGCCCAGGAAGATAAAATCTGTCACTACCTCCATTTCTTCCCCATCTATTTCCCAGGAATTGAGAGGGTCGGATGCCATGATCTTGGTTTTCTTAATGTTGAGTTTCAAGCCAACCTTTGCACTCTCCTTCACCCGCACCAAGAGGCTCTTTAGTTCCTCTTCACTTTCTGCCATTAGAGTGGTATCATCTGCATATCTTAGGTTCTTGATATTTCTCCCAGCAATCTTAATTCCAACTTTTGATTCATCTAGCCCTGCCTTTCTCATGATGTGCTCTGCATATGTTAAATAGGAAGGGTGACAGAATACAGCCTTGTCGGGCTTCTTTCCCAATTTTGAACCAATCAGTGGTTCCATGTCCAGTTCTCACTGTTGCTTCTTGACCCGGATATAGATTTCTCAAGAAACAAATAAGATGGTCTGGTACTCCCATCTCTTTAAGAACTTGCCACAATTTGTTGTGATCCACACAATCAAAGGCTTTGGCATAGTCAATGAAGCAGATGTTTTTCTGGAACTCCCTAGCTTTCTCTATGATCCAGCGTATGTTGGCAATTTGATCTCTAGTTCCTCTGTCTCTTCGAAATCCTCCCTGTACCAGTGGAAGATCAAACATATTCCTGAAAGACCTAGCAGACAACATTGACTCCCAAAAGGTAGAGAAGAGAACAGAGGGTCATGCATACTGGACTTAATTCTCACTAACAGAGATGAAATGATGGAAGGCATTAAAGTTACAAGAACCAGATGATGTGTTTAACCTCTCCCTCAGGCTCAGCCTGGTTATCCAGGGTGTCAATGAGACTTCCTTTCTCTGAGGATATTTGCTTTTCCCACCAGGGTAGATACAATAGACAGGCTCCAGGTCTGTTCACTAAAGCATTGCTACCTTGTGGGTCCTAGGATGCCTGCCTGTTTTGTTGCAAGTCTGGCCTATTCAAAGTCCTAGCCTTGAATTCCAACAGGCCCCTCTCCCTTTTAAAATTCTGGAGACCTGGTTTTTCTCCCAGGCATTTGGATAAGGTAAAGTTAGTGAAGGCTGAGAATGTGGTGGGTTGGATCAGTGAAGGGTAGTTGTGGCAACAAGTATTTCTCTTTTGGTGCTTATTGTTATAGCTGTATATATTAAGGGTTTTTTTCTGGGCTTTAAGCTGTCCAAAGTCTGCTTTAAAATGGTCAGATAGACAAATGTTTTATATATGTATGCAGGGTCATATTAACCATTTACTATAGCTTACCTGTCTCTCAGTATCAGCTATTATTTATTTTCTGTGGTATAACAGAATACAGCATTAATGCATAAAATTCACTCACACACACACACACACACACACAAACCCCCCCCCACAAAAAGTGTCCTTGCAGGGATCCAGGGAACCTTATGGGGGGCATTCCATTAAAATATAGGGTAAAGTTTGTGGGATGTTCCCACAGTCACATTTAGTATTATCATACATGCCCTATTGTTTTTTTTTCAATATTGTCACCTGCCATGGTTGTTCAGTACCATCTGACATCTATAGCAGATCTTTCTTGAAAGGTGAAAAGAGATATAAAAGAAATATTACTTTCTGTTTTCTCAGATACTGAAAAATGCACCCAGTGCTCAGATGATCAATATCCAACTGAGAGCAGAGTCCAATGTATTCCAAAAAGAATAATCTTCCTCTCTTATGAAGAACATCTGGGCATCATTCTGGTCTCAATTGCCCTACTCTTGTTCCTATCAACAGGATTTATTTTAATCATATTCATTAAATACCTAGAAACTCCCATTGTCAAAGCCAACAATCGGGACCTGTCCTATATTCTCCTGGCTTCTCTCTTGCTTTGCTTCTTGTCCTCCTTTTTCTTCATTGGACAGCCAAGGAAAGCCACCTGTCTTCTCCAACAAACAGTGTTCAGCATTGTCTTCTCAATAGCTGTGTCTTCTGTGTTGGCCAAAACGATCACAGTGGTGTTGGCATTCTTAGCCTCAAAACCAGGGAACAGGATGAGAAGATGGTTGGGGAAGAGCTTGGCCAACTCCATTATCCTTTCTGGTTCTGGTGTCCAAATTATCATCTGTGCCTTATGGCTTGTAATTTCTCCTCCATTCCCTGACTCTGACCTGCACTCCCAACCTGGAGAGATCATCCTTCAATGCAACGAAGGCTCTGTCACCATGTTTTATGTTGTCCTTGGCTATATGTGTTTCCTAGCTGCCATTTGCTTCACTGTAGCTTTCCTGGCCAGGAATCTGCCTGGGGCCTTCAATGAAGCCAAGCTGATCACCTTCAGCATGCTGGTCTTCTGCAGCGTCTGGGTCTCCTTCCTGCCCACTTACCTGAGTACCAAAGGAAAGTCCATGGTGATTGTGCAGGTCTTCTCCATCTTGGCCTCCAGTGCAGGACTGCTGGGTTGCATCTTCTTCCCCAAATGCTACATTATTATCCTGAGGCCAGATCTAAACACTAAGGAACATCTAATAATAAAAGTAGAGAAATGACTGTAATATTGTTTCTTAGTCTTGTAACATTTATTTTTTTCATTCCAGTTATTGGGCTTTTGTATTCTTCTTTTGCAGCAATGTGACAATTAAGGTTATTTAAAACTGAAGGAAATAAACATATGAAGAGTATAAGACTAATAAAATTAAAATTCAACATAATCATCCAATAGTAAAATTAAATTAAATTAAAACTGTCATGCAGCCAGGGATCAACAAGGTAAGAAATAAGATAGTTATATTAAAATAAAACAGCTGAATAGAAGAGACAAGGCTCCCTAAAGAGAGGGGGGAAGGAGTCTTTTTCCTGAGGTGTCTTGAATAGGAAACTCTAAATCTGTATGAACATGGTCACTTTCTCTCTTATAACTTTTTCTTGAAAGTAGGTATGAGCAGCGGAGCTAGGTATCAAAATCATGCAGATGACGCCACTTCTAACACACTGCTTCCGGAAGTCCATTCTGGGCCTGGGCAACAAAAAATTAGCTACCGGTTCTGCCGAACTGGTGCAAACTGGCTGAATCCCACCACTGCTTCTGGGGCTTTTGAGGTTGTTTCCTGTTCCTGTTTGAGGCTTTGTATTTCCTGTGTCATGTACTTTGACCTGAGTCTGAGTGTGCCCTTTTGGTATTGGTGGATTAATTCTTTATGTCCCCAAAGGTCATATCTTTTAGAATTTGGGTGGGTTATGTAGATTTTAGGTGTTTTTGTCTTCCTAATCTCATCAGCTTCTAACTTCCTGGCTCCAACCTTCCTGAATGGATTATTACATCTGCATTTCTAAAAGCTGTTTCTGCTGAGTTTTCTGGCTGGGGGTGGGGAGGGAGAAGTTCTGCCTTTTTAAAGATCTTCTCCATTATTCCTTTGGAGAAATATATTCTGCCTTTTTAATATTCCCCAAAATATTTCTTTCTCTGGATTCTTCCGACACTTCTTTTAAAATCCTTGGATGTTTCCATTCTAGTTCCATCCCTTTCTGGAGAAGAATGAGTTCTATAATCTTTCCCAGAAGAAACTGTACTTGGACCAAAGTGGAGAAGTAACTGCAGATATGGACACTGAGTACTTGGTGGTTTTGCCCAAGGAAGATTTGATCAAAAGGAACCTGGGGAGTATTGAAAGACAGAGACTTGCTATCAACCAAAATGCTCTTTCATGGCTAAAGTTGCTCAACAAGGTGGGTAAATATTGCTGTGTTTTCTCTTTTTTTCTAAAGATTAGGACCATTTCAAGTGGGTTAACTCTGGTTGCCATTGGGGAATGACCTTCACTGAGAGTTGAACATACAGAGGAGAAAACTTAACATTTTATTAGATTGCTTGTGGGGACTTTAATACTATTTACAAAGGTGTCCTTCAGATGCCATGATAAGGAAACTCTTTTAAACAGATTCAGCTATGTCCAATACTGGATGCTGGGTGATTATTCTTTAGGATGCAGACCATGGATCAAACTGGTGAGAAATATTCAAGTGCTGGCATTTGTGATGCTAATAGTTTCAAGTTCTTTTAACCAGTGTCTGCCTTAAGGTTCAGACTGAATCAGATGAAATGTACAGGTAGTCCTCGACTTACAACCACAGTTGAGCCCAAAATTTCTGTTGCCAACTGAGAAATTTGTTAAGTGAGTTTTGCCCCATTTTATGAACTTTGTTGCCACAGTTGTTAAGTGAATCACTACAGTTGTTAAATTAGTAACATGGTTGTTAAGCAAATCTGTTTTTTTCATTGATTTGTTTGTCAGAATGTCACAAAAGGGAATCACCTGACTCTGGGACACTTCAACCATCATAAGCATGAGTCAACTGCCAAGTGTCCAAATTTCAATCACATGACCAGGGGGATACTGCAAAGGTTGTAACTGTTAAAAGTGGTCATAAGTCACTTTTTCAGTGCTGTTGTAACTTTGCACAATCACTAAGTGAACTGTTGTAAGTCAAGGACTATCTGTAGTAATGAATGGTCAGAGATCCTGTTAGTCCACATGGGAAATAAGCTTCACCTTTTTCAGATTGGGGAATGTCTCCTTTGAAAGGTCACTGAGGTTCTATAATGTTTTTAAGCAGCCCAAGCCTGGTCAGAGTTATTCATGTCTCTCTTTCACCCTATTGGGATGAGCAAACACAAATAATAGAACATAATGAAACCAGCATTTGACACTTTAAAGGAGCTGATTTTATCCAGCTTAGAGAGAACCTAGGAAGGATTCTATGGATGATAAACTTATTTACAGAAAAAAAAATGGCAGAGATTTTTGATAATTATAATAAATTGGCCAGAATGAGGAACTTTTGATTGTTGCAATTGAAAACATTTGTGTGTGTGAGAGAGAGAGAGTGAGTGGGGGGAGGAAAAGCATACAGTGAAATAAAACTGAGATAATGGCATTCTTGGGCACAATTTTCAAATCAAATTTGTCCCTGCAAGGCAGCAGCAAAAGAGTACAGAATAACAGAGTTGGAAGGGACTTGGAGGTCTTCTAGTCCAATCCCCTGCTCAAGCAGGAAACCCTATACCATTTCAGAAAAATGGCTGTCCAGTCTCTCTTAAAACCCTCCAGTGATGGAGTTCCCACAACTTCTGAAGGCAAGTCATTCCAGTGATTAATCGTTCTAACTATCAGGAAATTTCTCCTTAGTTCTAGGGTGGTTCTCTCCTTGATTAGTTTCCATCCATTGCTTCTTGTCCTGGCACACAGCCACCATTTCAGGTATAGACCTCTCATCTATTTTTTAATTTAATAAACTGAGAAACTTCAAAATATAAAGGATCTCAATGGAAAGACAAAAGAGGGAGAGTCAAAGGGGGAAAAAATCCATCCTTTCTATAAATTTCTCCCTATTTACCCAACAATAAAGTCTAAGAGTGTCCGTTTCCTGCCTCTTAGTCAGCTCTCATCCAAAACATTATATATCTAGAAGAGAAGGAAAATAAAAATTTCACTTCAGGCTGAAGAAATTTTAAAATCAGCTCTATTTTAGGATTAATATATAGAGAGGTCTCATAGAAAAGAAAATCCTAATGAGGACCTATTCTTAACATTAGGCAGGGTTCAAGGGTGATTCCTTGGTGTTAAGAGGACAAGGAGCACTAGAGTTAAGTGTCCACATCCTAAACTGGCACCAAGCTCCATAGCTCTGGGTGACCTTCCCCAGCAGTTTCTGGAGACAATACACCACAATGGAAAACAGTAGAAGCCAACTCCTGCGGTATTGAAGTATTTTGTTCCAGCATTACTTTTTGGACATGTCCTGACAGAAAAGATGGCAACCACTATAGAAGAGTGTATCTGTGACATTTCACAAAATATCCTTTTTTTTCTAGCTGCCCCTTTGTACATGGAGCCCTGGAAGAAGTTCAGAAGCCCCAGAGGACAAATTATCACTACGGTAATGATCATGATCCCGGACTTTGAGATGTTTACTGCTATTTTTCAAGTGACTGCCTTTGATGTAAACATCAGACAGAAGCAACATGGAAGGGATCTTGCATCAAATATATATATATATATATAAAAGCCTCTACTCATGCTGAATGTTTTGCATAAGATTTAAGACACACAGCAGGGGCTGTGCTGTTGAATGTACCCTTCTCTCCTTTTCAGACGAAGTTCAGTTTGTTTCTGTTTGAATGGTAAAAGCCACTGGATATTCCATTTTCTGAGAGTGCTTTGAATTAATCTAACTCTTCTTTGGAAACAGGGGATTGATTCAGCTTCATGAACTATGGACCTCCTGCTTCTGCTTCTGATATTGCCAGTCTTTGGGAAGCTTAGAATAAAGTGCTCACTGAATTTGGAACCACTGAATAGAAAAAGACCATGGAGCTACTACGGCCGAGGAGACCATCTCATTAGTATAGTCACCAGTGCAGACACACTAGCGCGCAGCAAGTTGACTTTCGATGTACCTCCTTATAGTCAGTCTCGCGTGTAAGTTATTCAGTGTGATGGAATTGTATTCCTTCCATCTGCAGTTCTAGCACTCTCATACTTATCTTCTTATTCCACTTATTCCTATATTTCAGGACCTGACTAATTTTGTTAATCAGTCAGATTTCCATGTCTTATTTTATAACAAAAACAACAACAACAACAAAAACAATAACAAGAACAAGAACAAGAACAAGAGCAACAACAACAACAACAACAACAACAACAACAACAACAACAATAATAATAATAATAATAATAATAATAATAATAATAATAATAATAATAATAATAAAGTTGGAAGGGACCTTGGAGGTCATCTAGTCCAAACCCCTACTCAGGCAGGAAAACCTATACCATTTCAGACAAATGGCTGTATCTTCTTAAAAGCTTCTAGTGTTGGAGTATTCACGACTTCTGGAGGCAGATTATTCCACTGATTAATTGTTCTAACTGTCAAGAAGTTTCTCCTTAGTTGTAGGTTGCTTCTCTCTTTGGTTAGTTTCCATCCATTGCTTCTTGTCCTGCCTTCAGGTGCTTTGGAAAATAGCTTGACTCCCTCTTCTTTGTAGCAACCCCTGAGATATTGGAATACTGCTATCATATCACCTCTAGTCCTTCTCTTCATTAAAGAGAAGGAAGAGATACAAATGAAAAGTTGGGCAGAAAAAGTACCTGAAAGAAGTCCAAGTTATTTTCCTCTCCACACCCAATCCAGAATTCATGACTTGAATACTTTTGTTTAAAATAGTGATTGTTGTAGTTAATCCTGACCAGCTCATTGAGATATTTTTATAATTCTCATTGATATTCAATACCTGGTCCTTATAGGAATAGAAGATGACTTGCTTTTGGAATTCCATTTTTCTATGAGATATCCCCTTCCCTTTATGATGGTTCTACCTTAACAATTGAATTATTTTGCAGACTGAGTACTGGGCCAATGAAAATTAGTACAGCTATAAATAATGGACTATTTGTGATTCTTAACCCTGGTGGAAGAATATCCCCTTCCCATTTTCTCAACAGTCACAATATTAAATGTTGGTGGGTGACTGTCATTTGTCTCT